TGGTAACCGGCAGTCTCCAACAAAACCATATGGTTGGGAACAATTAGACTGTAGGAACAACTTCTCAAAGAAGTTCCCAAACAAAGACTTTTTTCTTGTGATTTGTGATCATTTCTCCCATTTATCTGTAATAATAACAAATTATTTGGGTTTCTTTTTGCCATCTTATTTTTTTTAATATACATATTTACATTCTACCTTGGCTTTTTTTTTTTAAGTTATTGCCTTAACTTAATTTTTCATTTTTCTTTCCCTACTATTAACCCACTAGTGGTTACTTTTAAGGCCTAAAATCTTAATGGTATATTTTTCTAATTATTCACAGCATGAAAGAAGCAACATCTCTTGATACCCTAAATGTAAGATAGAAGATGATCATTCATCTGTTTCTATCAGCTCATTCCCTACCTTGTTCTCATTCCCAGCATCTTGTGGGAGGATCTGGTGTGTCAAGTGTCATCTTGGCCCTGATCAGCTTTGTCTTGACCTTGTAGCAGCAGCAGCGTCATCAACTGGGGGCTTCTTAGAAATCCAGTCCCCAGACCCATCTCACAGCTGCTGTGTGGGACCTGCATTTCACCAGGTGATTCAGACACACTTGCAGTGGATTCATACACACGCTGAAGTTTGGGACATGGTATGTTAGAGGCAGGGTGTCCACCTGGATTGTTAAAGATTGTAGATCTAGGAGCTGAAGGTCAGGCAGTGGAGAAAGGACCAGCATCAAACAGCCAAGAGGTTTACTCTTCTCCCACAGGCAAAAACACCCACTAATTTAAGTAGCTGTTTGTTGTTTTAAACATGATGCTGTGGTTTTTCCGGGAACCAAGGTTCATATGATTACATTTTTACCCAGAACATTTTTATCGAGACAAATTGATCCTCTCTACATGTGGAATTTTTTACATTAAATTCTACCTTTCTACAATTAAAATAACTATTCCTCCTTTTTTCTCATTCATCCTAATATGTTATTTATTTTTAAACTATTCAAGTACTATTTAGTTTTATATAGAGCTTATATTCAGTTTTCTTTCCACAAACTAAATTGAAAGTTAATTTTCACACTATATTTGATTTCATGTTTTTCACCTTATTTTATGCTTTTGACACTTAACACCTCTTTACTGTCTGCCCAGTTTTTGTCCTTTTAATCTGTAGGCTCTGTTTTAACTACTTTGATCTTTTCCATGATTTAGAAGGCTTATACTCAATTTCCTTGGATTTTTAGACATATTACTCCAAAATAATTACTTGAGATTTCATGCAGTTTTGAAACTGTTTTCCATCGACTCTTTAAACTTAACTCTAGATTTAGTGGCTTTTAATATCAACTGCTTTTCACACTAGGACATCCTTATTTCGGGGTCCTTAACTTGGCTTTCCCTCCTGAGAGCTGGAGCACAGTCTCAGTTACTTCTTGTGTGAGACAGGTGGGCATTTAACTTATAAGTTCTTTTTTTTTTTTTTTTCAACAAATGTTCATGCAGTTACGTACATCAGGTCTTCTACTCATGTGAATGGGATGAAACGTACCCAAGGTGGTTCTCTTCCAATGCTCCCTGTTGTCTGGAATTTACTGTTGGTAAAATTCTTAACCCCAGTTACTTTATTTCTTCGTGTGTAGTTTTTCCCCCCTCTTGTGGGTTTCGGCCTCTGTCCCCCAGATGCCGTATCTTCCTGCATCTGGAGGATGTCAAACCAGTTCCTATGGATTTCTTCTGGCTCCTGAACTAAACGTTGTTGAGGTATTCTCTTCCTCTCATTGTCCAAGATATTTCCTTCCTTGTGTGTAGCAGCCTTTTAGGAATGGCCCCATGTGCTGGCGTTCAGGGTAATTGCTCGTGCTGCTGCTGAAGACAGAGATGCCCAAACCCAGTGCTTGGGGCTGCTTTTGGCTTTTCTTTGTCCTCCTGGTCATTACTGGAATCTCTGAGTTTAAAATGCAGAGTTTCTAGAGGCTTCTTCCTGGTATTGCTTTGCTGGATTCTGATGCGTGTGTGTTTTTGTGACCAGATAGAGTAAATGGAATCTGCGTCCCACAGTTCAGCCGGCTGAGATGGTTCGTCTCATCCTTGCCCTACAAAGTTCTGTTGCTGTCAACAATCAGTGCTCCATTGTCAACCCTGACTCCTTTATACGGGTATTTTTTGAAGCTTCTGACCCAGAATAACCCAAGAAGGTAGAAGGCAAAAAGTGGGAGGAAAGGGGAGCAACCGTAACCACCACAGAGAGGCAGAAACAGAACTGGGTATTAGACGCACACTCCTCTGGTCATCACTGAATGACCTCACTTGGGGTCTTGAACCACAGATAGGAGAAAGAAAGTGCTTTCTTACCTGTTTTCATTTTAGAAAGCCTAGAGACACCGAATGTGTCCATTCTTCCTATTAGAACGATCAGCCTTGTAATTAGCTGACGTCAACCCCAGACTGTAGAAGTAGAGAGGCAGCTCAGTCCCGTTCTTATTCTTTGGGATTGCACGTATTTTGCTTTACTGGTATAGATATTAGTTAGAATTTGAGGAAAACTATTTAAAAACTGCTAGCTGGTGATGGTAAGGTTAATTTTTGCCCTCAGAGATAGTCAAAATTATACTAATAGTACAGCTTGAAAAATCAGCTACACGTGCTGTGTTATGCCAATTATGCACATCAGGCTGCTTCCAGATCAATTAGCCTCAATCCAGAATTCACCTGGAAGATTGACGTGATGCACGTAATGTTTCTCACACTGCGCTAGGACTGTGCATGATCTTGAATAATCAGTCTTTCTTCCTGAGAAAAATCTGGCTTTTACGGATGTAAGTAGATGGAGAAGCAAACCAAGTTAGATTCAGGATCAGTATGTAACAGCAGAAGCCCAGGAAGGAAAGCAATGATATCTACCAAAATAAACTCTCATTGCCTTTGGAAGCTTAAAATATCAAATTCATAGTTAATTTTACCTGACAAAACATGTTTATGGAGTTCTTAATAATGTTTTCACTTATGAGCAAATTACCTCTAGTATGTGTGTACTGTAAATTTTGTCCTTAGAACACATCACTTCTCTCAACTCATTTAAATATCTTTAAAATACAGATCAAAGTTGAAAATCAATTCACCTGCGTCTGCAATGCTCTATTTTGGTATGTATTAACTGTAAACAGTATAATCAAAATATTACTTAGAAACTCTCTTTCTGCCCTTCAGTGTTTTCAGTGGAGGTACAAGTGAAAAAGTCCCGAGAAGACAGTGAGCCCAACAACAACAGGTTTTTTCCAAGAACAGAACAGACTTCTGGATGTTGTTGCTATTCTGCTGGGTGCAGGGGAAAAAGGATCGTGTCCTCTAAAGATGGTTCCTGGGGAGAATGTTCTGGGCCTTTTTATTTGTCAATAAAACTTGTACATCATTCTTTAGAAAATGTAGCATTTCTGCTAGAATTTAACATATTCAAAAATCGTGAGCTCTTAGAATAAATCACATTCGGAAAGCACTTTCCTGCCACTCAGCACTATATGTCCTTCCTGAAGGACTTCAAAGATCATCATTCAGCTGATGCACGAGGGGCGAGGAAGCCGTTCTAAAGTGTCATTTCTCTTCCTGTGTTACTTTGCACAGAAGGTAGCCTGTCTTTTTATTGGTTTTACTTCTATGTCTTGGTGGAAATCTGGAGTGGTCAGTTGCAGATCTCTTACCAAAAAAAAAAAAAAATCTCAAAAAGATGAGAGCAAGTTTCAGAGTTGATTCAGTATAAACAGTGACAGCAGAAAGGCCAAAAATCTAGAATTCTAAGAATAATTCATTCATATCAATAAAAAGGTCACCACAGATAAGATGAAATAATCCAGGCAGTGGGGAAGGACCCAATGTTAAATTATTTCGGTTTTTTTTGGTCAAAGCCCATGGCAAGGGTAGTTCTCAGACAGTGAGAGTGAGGCTTCCCCAGATCCCAGGAGACTGAGCAGGTATCCAGTCAGTCATCACAGGAAGGGTTCACCCTGGATGAGGGAGTGGGGCAGAGCCTGTGGTGGGGGAAGCAGGCCCACGGCCTAGGGCAGCTGGGAAAGGAATGGATGTCCCTGCCCAGGAGGTGCTCAGCGCCACCCCTCTGCTTTCCAGCAGCACAGCGTGGATGGCAACTCTGGTGTGGACAGAGCCTGGGGTGTGATGGTGGGTGGCAAGGGCCTAGGCCTGGCCATTGCCAACTTGAGGGAGGCTGCCATCCCCTCCTAGAGCCTTGTCCCCAAAAGATGGCCCTATTATAAGGGTCAGCAGCAGCTGTGGACTGAAAGGAGGAGGCTGGACCCAGATGACTAGACCCAATGACTCCCCAAGGGCTTCTTGGGCAGTCATTATAGACCATCTCAATGGCAAATGAAAATCCCAGAAACGCTTTGGAAGGGGCTGCTTTCAGACAACTAGTCCAGAGAGATTCATGCCTGAAGAATGTGGCATAGGAAGAAACCATTTCATTTTATTAACAAAAGAAATAAAGTCAATGACAGGGTTATTCTAGAGTTTCCTCAGGTAACCTATCACAGAAAAAAAAAATAAATTCAAGTATTTGGTAACATTATTTTTCCCCATTTCAGACTTTTTTCTTTAAATTATGAATCCTACTACCTAAAAGATCCTAAAGATAACTGGGTTGACATTGTAATTTAGGAATTAGGGATGTCATCTGAAAAGAACTTATAAGTTAGAGATGGTGTGGAGTACACACACTTGACTTGTGCATGTACAAATTAACATTAATGCTTGCATCAGTACTGAGAAGCATTTTAAATTAGTATAAACCCCATGCAATTTAGTTTATTTATATGGTGAAACTTCAGTGTGGTATCAGTAATGGGATAGAGTAGATTTGGGATGTCTGGCCCAGTATGTCATCCTATAAAATTCCCACAAAACCTGGGGATAGCCTCAGTCTGTTGTGTTTTATTGCTTAATTAGCGAGTTGTCAAAAAGCAGCACCTTCTAAACTGAATGATGCTTTTTCACCTGTTCACTTACTTTTTATCGGGATAATGAGCTGTGGAATGACAGGAAGAATCTTGTTCCCCCCGTGTTCCAGCATGTCGTGGATTCCTTGCCGAGCAAAAAACTCATAGGGAAATGTCATTTCACAGAGCCCATCAAAAAACAGAGGCAGATAATGATGGTAATCCAGCTTCTCAATTTCTACCTGAAAGGAGAGAGAAGAAATGCCATGTGAAGACAACAGTGGGGCAAAGCATGGCCAGACCGCCATGAGGCTGTCACCGACTTAGGAGGAAGACGTTCTTCGGGACTTTGGGAAGATTTTTTATTAAGTAACTCATCTAACAACCCGAAGTACATCATCATGTCTTAATTCCATTAGCAATGGGGTTATAATCATTGACCTTTACATTTTAACAGATTGGAATAATAAATAATCAATAATCAACATTGGTATTGGTTTGGGGGTTCTTTGGTTAATATTTTACCATTTGGCACAAATGCAATACCTAAAAGGATTCAAGAAGTCCACCATATGTATGACAAAAAGATATATGCAAGAATAGAATAAAAAAGGAAGAAAAAGTTGAAAAGAGGATTTCATCTGAATTTCTAACAAGAATCTAATAGGAATGGCTCACCGGTATATTCTTGTGAAATGTGTCTTTTCAGGACGTGGCAAGTATGAGAGTGAGGGATGAAATAGGGTTATGTGTATGTTCCCTGGATCCTGCATGACAAGGAGAACGTTTGGTGCTCTCAAGTCACCTCAAAATCAAAATATCCCAATCTCTCTCAGCTGCTTCGTTTGGGAACAGAGATATGTCACTTTTCCATTGTTATATCCTTCACCCTTGATAACACCTCCACGACTTCTTGTCCTGATCTTTGTAAAACCATCCAGCATCAACAGTGAATGGAAACGAAACCTCTGAGGTTGAGAAAAGACATGATGTGTTGCAAGCTGCAGGAGATCTCCTCTAGCCTGGGTCCTTCACTGTCTAGAGTATCTATGACCTCACTTGCCACCTGCAAGGTGACAGAAGTGATGGTGATATCATGAATGGAAATAAGCCAACAGACTCAGACTGAGGGCACAATCCATTTACAGAGCAAAGGATGCAGCGTTTCCAGTGAGAGGTGCAAATTCCCCAGGTCTTCAAGTCTTTATGAATGCACCCAGTTTTCAATTACCACGTTATAATTGAGTGAGGAGCCCATCAAGACCTTAGAGAAACTGCCTTTTACTAGGAGGTTTTTATAACTTCTAGCTCTCTCTCAGCTTTTTGGAGTCCCTAGCCACAGGCCTGCCTGTCCCTGGGTGTGAGAAACTGTTAACACCCACACCCCATTTCCGAATGTCACTGTAGGGTGAGTCAAATGTCCTGCATTGGCCAAGCAGAAGGTCTGTCTCTAGTCCGCTCATCGACTGCCCAGCCAATCGGGGACATAAACAGTCAAGAGCTGAATGTTTGGATGTCCTCTTGGAATTGGAGTTTGGCAAATGAATCCCAGAGGGAGGTATATATGGACATCAATTTTATTTTATATTCCTTGTATATTTATAAAATTTACTTTGTTCATAGTAAAATTTTATGGAATATATATCCAGTGCCTGCCTTCTCAAGGATTTTTGTGTATCTGAAGACATTTTAGAACACTATTTTGTACTAACAAAGATATTGCTACATCGTTCAGCTCCAAAAGGTACAGTGTTGCTATCACTAATTTTACCTTGTAGCCTAACTTAATAATATAAATGCCATCTGTATTATATTTGTCTATATTACTGATGTTTTTCTAATTCTCTTTGTTTTAGCCCACCATCATACTTGTACATATGTGTCCTATAATGAGCAAGTTATTAAATTTTGTACTTTAATGTGATCTAGGACTTTTTATTTTAATACATTAAGTCATTCACATTTATCACTATGTCTACTTTAACTTCTGTCATCTTATTTTTTGGCCCTTGGTTGTTGTTTTCCATTTACTTTTTCCTTTCTATTTTGCAGGGTTTTTTTTTTAATGTGGGTCACTTTTTTTGAGGGAGAGGGCAGTGATTTGAAAGATAAGATAGCCTGCTATCTTATCTTATTTATTACTGCTATCTCATGTCTTTGTCAAATATTTAAAAATAAATTTAGGTCACTTGGAGAAGCAAATTAAAAATCTACTAAGACTGCTGACATGCCATTTTTTTCCTTGGAATTCCATTGATTTATTTCTTTGTGTGGTTTGGAGCAATAATACTAAGAACATCCACGATAGCAACAGTAAAAACATGCCTTGTTTATGATACCAGACACTATTTTAAATACTTATGTGTATTAGTTCATTTCACCCTTTTTTGGTAATTTTATTTTTTTCAGTGCTCCAAGATTCATTGTTTATGCACCACACCCAGTGCTCCATGCAATACGTGCCCTCCTTAATACCCACCACCAGGCTCACCCAACCCCCCCAGCCCCTCCCCTCCAAAACCCTCAGTTTGTTTCTCAGAGTCCACAGTCTCTCATGGTTCATCTCCCCCTCTGGTTTCCCCCTCATCCTCATGACAACTCTAAAAGGTGGGTGTTATGCATATCTCCATTATCAATATGGAGAAACTGAGGCACTGAGAGGTTCAATAACTTGCCTAAGTTCTCCAGCTAGAGAGAACAGTTGCTGGGATCTGAACCCAAGCTATCTGGCTGCAGGATGTGATACAGCCTCTCAGGCTATATTGTTAGGCACATAGAGGTTCAGCATTATTATACTCTCCTGGTGACTATTCCATTTATCCTCACATCTCCATCCCCTTTACCATTACTAATGCAGGGTGTCCTAGTTTATTCAAATACCAACACTGCCATAACTAGCTTGTCTGTTGTGTCTTTTACGCTTTTACTTTCTTTCTCCCTCAGGCATTATGTTTTAATAGTATCTTTCTTTTAAGATTTATTTGTTTGAGAGAAAGAGAGAGCACAAGCAGGGTGAGGAGCCGAGGGAGAGGGAGAAGCAGATGCCCCACTGAGCAGGGAGCCTGACATGGGGTTCAATCCAAGGACCCTGGGATCATGACCTGAGCCAAAGGCAGACGCTTAACCAACTGAGCCACGTGCCCCTAACAGTATCTTTTCTAAGTAGCTGAAACCTGCATTTGTTTTTTTGCCCCTCCCATTTCACAATGTGTCTTAAAACAACAAATATAGAGCACACATGATTCTTATTCTCCGAAGTTTTGAAAAGAAAGAAAGAAAAGCAATGGAAGAAAGAATAAAGGAAGAGAGAAAAAAAGGAGGAGCAGGCAGAGAAATGGAATGAAAGACCCAGGGAGAGAAACTGAGAAAACATCATCTCTAGGTCTCTAACTCTGAGCTCACGGACCACAGCAGCTCCTTTCTACTGGCAATTCTTCCTCTGACCCATTTGTTATTTGGCATATCTGCTGCCACTGTAGAACTGTTGCCTTAAACAAGGGAATAATGACTTGCCCCTATATTTTGAGGTAAGAAACTCCTCGAAACAGTACAGATATTTCTCTACTTACTATAGGATGAATTTTTTTTTTTTTGTACATAACTTTATTTGCTGCTTGTATATCTTCTTGGGTTCCTCTTGTTATTGTGATACTGTTTCAGATGACAAATGTGGTCTAGGACTTGGGAAACCTTCCTATATTCCTTTAAAATCCAGAGCTTTCGCATGTGTTTTGTTTTGTTTAATGATATGTCTGAGTTCTCTTTGATGTACTTTTCTTTGATTCTGATAAGCTCCTGACAGCTACTGCCCAATTTCATGTGTCCACAGTTAAAGTTGTCTATATGTCCTCACTCCCGTTCTCTCTTCAGCCTACTTTGCTACCATGCCACTGCAGGTGATCCTTCCCAGGTCACCAGTGACCTTCACTTTGTCCAACTCTCCTGTCTCTTTTATGTTCTCATTACATGACACACTTGACCCTGGCCTCCTGACACCATACCTCCAGCACTGGGGGTCATCCTTGATTTCCTCCCTTCAAATCCCATGTTCAACCCATCAGTAATCCAACTGATTCTACCTCCAAGCAAATCCTGATCTCATTTCCTTTCCTGCCATTTTGCAGATTGCCAGCTTAGTGTAAGCCTTACCTTGCCGTTCTTTGATTACTGCAACAGCTTCCTAACTCATTTCCTTGTTTCCATTTCTGCCTTCCTATTCCCATTTTCCACATGAGTCCTGACCTGTGATTGCTCCTGACTCAGGTCTCAACAGGGCCTCCCCGATCTGTCCCCAGGTCCCAATGCTTCACACCATCCTTCTACAGCACTGCTCTCTGGAGACACTGAAAGACACTTTTGTCCCCTGACCAGCCTAGCCTCGAACCCAATGCTCCTTAGAGAGTATCTTTGAAAGAACTGGTCCCCTTCTCTCCAGAACTCTCGGTTGCTGGTAACTCCTTTCATCTAGAGTTCAGCTCAGTGAGGCCCTCTTACCATGGCCTACCACCCTGTTTGATTTGCTATGTGGCCTTTATCATTTATTCATCACTGTTTCTTAAGTTCTATTGTTCAGGGAGTTGTCATTGCCTGAGAGGGTGGGGGCAAATAACAGGTGAATACTCAGTAAGCATGTGTTGAATTTCAATTCTGACCTTTCGGATCTTTCGTCTGTGCTAACTCTTTGAGGGGCAGACTCAGCAAAGGGCACAATGGCCAGATGACAAATGGTCATCTCTAAAGGTGAGATCAGGGACCACGGCAGAGTGCACAGAGAGCCTGGTGGTGAACACTGGCCCTGTAGCATGATGGGGCATATAGTTTTCCATAGATTTATGTTTTCTACAACTTTGCGTACTCTACAAATAAGATGCTATGTCTTCTCCATTAGGACTACAGTGATGATTTACATTTCATGAGTTTTATGAGTATTTTCTTTTTTTTTTTTTCAAGATTTTGTTTATTTATCTGACAGAGATCACAAGTAGGCAGAGAGGCAGGCAGAGAGAGAGGAGGAAGCAGGCTCCCTGCCAAGCAGAGAGCCCAATGCAGGGCTCGATCCCAGGACCCTGAGATCATGACCTGAGCTGAAGGCAGAGGCTTAACCCACTGAGCCACTCAGGCACCCTTTATGAGTATTTTCATAGACCATCAGAATGCCTTGCTTCTTAGTGCTTCTATTTACCCTCATTTGACTATAAATCATTCAGGGATTAATTTGCTATTCTGTATACTTTTTAATACT